GCGGTCAGTGCGCAGCCCCGGCGCCCGTTCGGAGCCGGGAGCCCGGAGCCCGGAGCCGGATCGCGGGCTCGGAGCGGACCCGCCCCGCCCGCCGCCCCCAGCCAGGTGAGGGCAGCTCAGGGCCGGGGAGCCAAGCTTTCTCCCGTGTGCAAGCGGGGGCGGGCGAAGCGCGGGGGAATCCGGCTCCTTGTTCGCTGAAAGGAGGACCTGAGAGCTTTTTCATGAAAGAGGCTCAAGGGCTTTCACTCGGAAGGGATGGATGAAGGAAGGTTGGCAAGGGGGCGGGGGGTGGGGGAGCTCTAGGGTATCCCCTCCTGAGGGATTTCTTTTTTCAGGAGGAAGGGTTAAATGGCTTCTGTAAAACGGGGACTTGTCTTCTTGGGAACATGAGGGGCTTTCAGGGTGGGAGGAGGTTCTGGCGGGGCTTGAAGGAGGGGGTAACTGGGGAGTGGGGTTTGGCGGGGAGCGGGGCTCTGAGATCGCCTTCACCTGACATCGCGGCACCTCCCCCGTCGGTTCCGGGGCTCTGGGTCTGCCCAGGTCTCCGTGTCCCAGTTTTGTCTCTTTGAAGATGACTATTTTGAGCCCCACCTGGACAGAGCTAGAACAGCCATTTCCTTTCCCGGAGCTATGAGGCCCACCTGACACCCTCCCACCTCTGACCTGACCAGGGAAGGGGGTTTAAAGAAGGATGGGGACCTAGGGATCTGGGAAATGGCAATGCTGGGTGAGAAATGGGCAGAGGCTGGGTACTGAACACACGGGAGGACCCTCTGGCCCTCGTGGGGTGCACCAGACTCTGCAGGGAGATTGCTGAAGGTAGGGTGGGCAGGTGCTCCTGGGGCAGGACCTGCTAGGGAGAGGAGCAGGGTCAGAAAGAGTTGAGATGTTCCCATACTCCCAGAAGGCAAACGCTAGAGTTCTTGCTTGTTTCATTGGTTTTATTTGCTTTTTGCTTTCTTTTCTTTCACCCTGGATCCCAAGATTCATTCCACTTATCTCCCCTCCTATTTTTGCAAAAAAGGAAAACTGAGGCTAAGGACAGGTTGGCTGGAAATATCTGTGTCTATGAGGAAAAGATGGGGGAGAGGAAGGTGTACTGAATCTGGAGTCAAAAGACCTTGGTTCAAGGTTGCCTCAGTGTGCGTGATTACCTTCGGCCAAAATGCTTCCCCTGTTTGGGCCTTGACTTTCTCATCTATAAAGTGGGAGAGGGCCCACCTGTCTCAAAGGTTTGCTGGGAGACCAGATGTGCCCAAAGAGCTTAATGAAAGGGAATACTCAGGAGGTGCAATCTTCATCACTGTAGATGGGTCCCCTCCTTCCTGCCCTCATCAAGGGTATCGGCTAGCCCTTGGGGTGCCTTTGTAGCAATTACAAAAGGTCCCTCCTCCGGAGGGAGAGAAGCTTTAGCTGGGTTAGGGACTTGGGGTCTTTATTATGAAAATTAGAAAAAGGCACACTTTCCCCGGGTGCAGCAGGTCCACACTGTAGGGCAAGTAGAACGTGAGCTGGATTCCAGTGCCCACCTACCCTAAGGTGAATGTCCTTGTGTAGGGTGCATCTGCCCCTGGCAGCCCTTCTCAGCAAGCCCCCAGTGTCTCTAAGAGACACAGAGCTACACACACTCCCAGGGTCCTTCCCAGAGCCCATATCCAGGCTGTTGCCAGCTCATTTTCTTTCCTACTTTGTCTCCACTTCAGGGCCTTTGGGTATTCAAGCCCCAAAGCCTATGCCCTACTAAGAAGCATGATGGAGTTAGGCATTGCCTTCCCAAGTTCCCAGTGGTAAGAGTTACTGAGTCCCTAACTGCTTATGTCAAGAACTCTATCAGATCACTTTTCTCAAGGCCAAGAAGAGAAGCATCTGCACACCTGGGCAACACTACCATTCACAAATGGTGTTTGCACCTGCTATCTCAGAGCATCCTCACAGTAAGACTGGGGCAGGTCTCCCCATTTACAGAAAAGAAGCCATGCCCAGAGAAGTTAAGGAATTTGCCTAAGGAGCCACAGCATTTAAGTGGTAGAGCCAGGAAATGAGCCCAGGTCGAGCTGCCAGTCTTTCACTCCACCACTACTGAGGAGCAAAGCTGCTGACCTCACAGTCTTGCCAAAGCCTTGCTGCAACTGTTGCTCTCCTTCTCTATTCACAGGAGCCCCTGGTTCTCTCCTTCTGCTCAGTGACCAGCCCTCAAGCCCAGAGGAAAGAGTCACTGTCTCTTACTGTGATTTCATGGGGAGGGAGCTATGTCAAGGCCCAACTGCTCGGGCCTCTTTACTGCAAGAAGGGCCCCTGGGGAGTCCAGAGGTCCAGAGTGGCGGCTGACCCTTGTGGGTCAAAGGCCAGGAAAGGGGTCAATGAGCAGCTATTTCCTTTCCTGTCCATATGGGGGCTGAAACAGTGGCCATCGGTACAGAGAGCTAGTGCCTGAGTGAGGGGCAGGCCAAGGTCCATAGAATAGCCACAGGGCAATTCAGCAAACCAGGCTGAAAGAAACTCAGGCGCCCTGACCACCCTCTGTGGTGCCAAGGTGGGGAGGGGGAAGCCCAGCTGACAGGCTACATAGGCCCCTTCGGCCAAAGCATTTCTGCTTCTATCTGTGGTATAGGTGTGTGAGCTTTCACTTGAGAAGGGGGTTCGTTTCTTACAAAAAAAGGAGACTCACTGGCCTAATCTTCTGGTTCCCAAAGTGTGGTCCCTGGACCAGCAGCATCTGCATTACCTGAAATTTGTTGGAAATGCAAATTCTCAAGCCTCATCCTAAACCAAATGAATGGAAACTCTGGGGGCGGGGGCCCAACAACGTGTGTTCCAGCAAGCCCTCTATATGACACCGAGGCCCGCTGAAGCTTGAGACCCGCTGACCTAGTCCAAGTGTGTAGGAACCCGAGTCCTAGTTGTGGGGCAGGGGCAGGGCTGTGCAAGTAACGCGTCTCCCAGTCTCGGAACTCGGAACGCGGGGCATCTGGGGGCCGCCCCCGGCACAAGCCCCCTCTCCTTCCCCTTCTGCCTCCCCTCCCAGGCGCCATGCTGCTGCTCCTGCTGGGCCTGCTGGGCCCTGCCGCCTGCCGGGCCCTGGGGCCGGGGCCGGGCTCGACGGAGCTGCGCTCGGCCTTCTCGGCCGCACGCACCACCCCCCTGGAGGGCACATCGGAGATGGCGGTGACCTTCGACAAGGTGTACGTGAACATCGGCGGCGACTTCGACGCGGCCACAGGCCAGTTCCGCTGCCGCGTGCCCGGCGCCTACTTCTTCTCCTTCACGGCCGGCAAGGCCCCGCACAAGAGCCTGTCGGTGATGCTGGTGCGCAACCGCGACGAGGTGCAGGCGCTGGCCTTCGACGAGCAGCGGCGGCCCGGCGCGCGGCGCGCCGCCAGCCAGAGCGCCATGCTGCAGCTCGACTACGGCGACACGGTGTGGCTGCGGCTGCACGGCGCCCCGCAGTACGCGC